CCGGTACTGGCACAAAAACGGCAGGGCTGGGAACTTCAGCCATCCTGTTTCAAAGGACATCCATTTTCAAAACACAGCTTAGAGACCCAGCCAGATCTTGCTCCCTCTCCATACTACTACAAACACTGTCACCACAGGCTGGCACCTTGGCATGATCTCTCTCCAGACCATAGCCATCAGCGCAGGACTGGAAGACTTCCAATGCAGAATGCCATTTTCCAGGATTCTGAGCCAACCCAAGTGTCTGGGTGTAGAAATAGCCCTGGGGGTAAGGAGGTATCTCAGTCACTGTCCCCAGGCAGCAAACCAGGCTCTAAGCACCGCCCCATCCTGGGCTGCAGATATGAAGAGGCCTATCTCCTGCACCAGCCCTTGCCTGGCTCCCAGCCTCTGGAAACCACAGACTTCTGAGCAACACTCGGGAAATAGGGCCGTTCACGGAAAATGTTGCCAAAGTTAAACTGGGTACCAAAAGGACAGGGCCTCACTCTGCATCCCTCTAGGAATGATTGAATCACTCAAGCACAGGGTTAAAACTGAGGCAGAGAGATGTTGCACTTAAGAGAACAGAGCTGCATCAGAAAAGGAAAACCAACTTTAGGTCTCAGTCCCATCAAGATATGTATCTTGGGAAAATTACTAAGACTCTAGGACCATTTCCCATGGGATCAGGAAGTTGGGACTGGCCAACAACTCCATGGATTCCCAAAGCAGGACACGTTCCTAAACTCTCTCTGCTAGCCCAGGTACTGGAAGTCCTGCTGCTTATCTGCCTATCTGTCCCCCTTTCAGTCGAAAATGCCCCTCAAATCCAGGAGAGGACACTCAAGGCAGCCACATACACATCAGTAGTGAGTAAACATGTGTCCACAATGCCTTGGAAACCTAACCTGAGGACTCTCCCAGCAGTTCTAGGGGTCCAGGGAGAGCCCAGGACCTCACATAATAGCAGTTCTAGGGGTCCAGGGAGAGCCCAGGACCTCACATAACAGGGCTCCGATGAGGATCAATCTCCCCACTCACACCACTGTCCCAGGAACAGCAGGGCCTCCCTAGTTACCTTACACTCCAGGGCCACTTCTCAGGGAATGGACCAAGGTCAGAGTGTTATCACTACAGCTGTACAATGTTACCTACCTAGCAAGGCCTCATAAGCAAAGTCGTTGGGGGACCTTCCCAGGCCCACGGTAGGGAGTCTAAATGGGCACAGCCTGTTTCTCAAAGGTGCTATTAAGCTGGTGACAATGTACCCCCAAATGCTCAGTATGGAAAATTGAGCATCAGCTTTTGCACATGTCGCCCTAGCACTGGACAAAGCTAGACACACAGACAATGAAGGAATAAACTGGCTTAGACCAGACCCAGCTGAGAGGTAAGCCAAGGTAGAGCACAGCTGGACACAAAGAACACCCTCACTTGCCTGGTAGAATTCTCAGACCCGAGGAGGGCCTCGTGGAGACAGTGTATTGGGTCTACCATGATGAAGAGCAACTTCCCTCTACAGAGAGTTTGGCTATCTCCCTTCCTTTCCATTCTAAGAACAAAAATATGCTTGTGGCCAGGTACTGATAACTGATGCCTACAATCCCAGCGACTCAGAAGATTAGGATCTGAGGATCTTGGGTCAAAGCCAGTCTAGGTAGAAGGGTCCTGTGAGAATTTATCTCCAATTAACGAGCAAAAACCCAAAAGTGAAGGTGTGGCTCAAGTAGTAGAGTGCAAAAGCTAAGGGTGAGTGCAAGACCCTGAGTTCAAGTCCGGATATACACACAGAAAACATAGTGTGTGTAATGATCAGTGAGTCTCAAGGAAACGTGAGGAGGTCAGCATACTGCCAGGCAAGTAAGGAATAAAACATTAAACCTCATAAAATCCACCCTTTTCAACCCAAGCAGGTCCACTCCACACAGCAGTGCTGTCCCTGGGTAGTCTAAAACACGGATGCCTTCATGTCACAACCTTGGATCTTGAAAAGCAGCAGCCTACTCCCTGGTCACAGTCTTCCAGGGACATTTCACATGCTGCTGCTCCCACCAAGTGCTCATCTAAGGAAAGCCAGAATGGACTGGGTTCCTTAAGGTTCTGATATATTCCAGAAGTCTCATATAGTTGCAGAAGCCAAACCCTCTGGCCAGATCCTTCTTCGAAAACCAGCAATCCAATGTTGCAAGCACAGCCACTGGGGGCCAGTTTGGTATACAAGAGGAGCCTGCAGAACAGGAAAGGAGGCCGAGTGGACAGTGACACTGGCCCAACTGGCCTCTCCACATGCTGCTGGGATGGCTTCCTGGCCTGTGTCATCCACCTCTAGAAAATCAGAGCCAGCTGCATTATTAGTCTCTTCTCCTAAAGGTGCCCTGGGCATGAATGCCATGGAGCCCTCAATAGAGAAGTTTACAAGCGTACTGACAGGCTCAGCTCAAAGAAGCACTGCTGGGGTAATTCTGTCCATTCTGATTTTTCAGACAGAGAAGCTCAAGAGAAGGCCTGGGACTGGCACAAGGTCACCCAGAAAGAATCAGGGGCCATTTTCAAAGCTGTGGACTTCCTGTTCACCACAGTGTTCACACTATTGAGATTCTTGCAGCAATAAATGTATCTCCAACATTATCTGTCCAGTTAATCTGAATTTTTTTTTTCCAGTCCTGGGGCTTGAACTCAGGGCCTGGGCACTGTCCTTGAGCTTCTTTTTTTATTGCTCAAGGCTAGTACTCTACCACTTGAGCCACAATGCCACTTCTGGCTTTTTCTGTTGATGTGCTACTGAGGAATTAAACTCTGGGCTTCATGCATGCTAGGCAAGCACTCTACCACTAAGCCACATTCCCAGCCCCTGGATTTTATAGAACTGTTCTTAAACAAGCATATGTACAACAGCTTACGCAGATGTCCAATTTAACCCAACTGAGCATCCTTTGCTAATCTACTAAACACAACACTGAAGAACCCTTGGAGATGCCCTCCAACCTCCTTGTTTTGGAGATGAGACTGAGGCCTCCAGGATGAAGGGATTTCCTCAAAGTACACAGCTGCAGCCCTACAGAACTATCGCCAACAGTCTAAATTCCTGTCTTTTCAGGGAGCAGGGTGACCCTGAACCCACAGCAGAGTATAAAGAACAGAGAACAGACATAGATCTCATTCTTGCTGCTAATCACCAAGATGACTATCCAAACACACTCAGCAGGGAGGTCACTGAGCAACCAGCTCAGAGGCCTAGTCAGCTGGACACTGAGGTGTCATGATGCCACACCTTTGTCAAAATGTGCAACTTTGGAGGTCAGCGAACCAGGAGGACAAAAAGCCATCTACAGAGGATGAAAGTAAATCGTTCATTCTCCTATATCCACCCTGGGAGCCAGGAGCCCTGCAGAGGGGCACAGGGATGATCCACAGAGACCAACACAGAGAACATCCTCTCAGCCCAACAACACAGCAGTCCAACCAGACACAGAGTGCAGGACAAGGAGCCCTCCCTCCCGGAACTAAGTCACACAGGCCCCCTATTGTGTCAGCTTTAAAACTGAACTTTGCTGGGCAAACACACTCAGCTGTGTTCAAGAAGTCCACATGCAGAAAGGCCCCCCAAGAAAGAGGGAGAAGCTTTGTTGATCTATTTTTTAAGCAAAGGCCTGGTGGAGCCTTGTTGATTTGTTTTTTAAGCAAAGCCCCGGTCAGTCATTTGCTATAGTAACTGCAATAAAAAGCAATAACAGTCAGCATTGGCTGGATTCTTTCACTCTCTCTGGCTTTTGTAGATTTTTTTTAAGAAAATAAAACCAAGGAGTCACCCTGAGCATTTTGGATCAAACCAAGGATTTGGACTCGCAGTGTGCAAGGAAAGAGGCCTGATATAATAATTACCGCCATCACTGGCTGGCCTTATGACAGCTGGCAAAGGCAATTAGCAATGGGGTGGAGGGGTGTGTGTGTGGACTGAGGATCTAATAAAACAAAACATCTCCAGTCTCACAGGGGCCCAGGCGCAGCTAATGTAAGGCGATGAGAGGTTCTTCTTCAGGACAGTGCCGTTATTAGTTAATAACTAGTCCCCAAAATGTCAGAGGCCTCCCAATCCTTGGATGGAAAAAAAAAAAAAAAAGCAAGTTGGGAATGCACTAGTTCCCCTCCATTGGGTTCTGAGAACCCAACATCCATTCTGCCTGATTTTTCTAGGTCCTTCTAATACTGCATTTCCCAGCTATAATTTGTGAGAGTAGGAGGGCCCCCTATCTTGTTTCTCCTTTACCCTCCAAGCTGTCTCAACCACAGAACCCCTGAAGCAGTGTCTTCTTCCCACCAAAGGCTCCTTTCCCCCCAGCATAATCTTTCCAAACCAAACACTCAATGGTTTGGGGAGAGTCAGTTGGTAATTACATTTTGAGCAGTGAACCGGTTGTGCCACCGCGAAAGGAAAAGCACCCAATGCCTGAAGAGCAAAAAAAAATGCAATTTCGGCACTTTCTTTTGGAAAAGGGGCATTGGAGACCTGGAGGAGAGAGAAAAGGACGAGGGACACGACGGAAAGCAGGGCAGCGTGTGAGAGGAAGCCTGCGCTTCTAACGCAGACACCCCAGCCCAGGCTCCTGAGCTCCAGCCCTCGGGGGGGGGGGGGGGGGGAAGTCCTGCGCGTGACTCAGTGGGGCCAGAAGTCTCACGGACCCTGGCAATGAGACAGGGTGCGGGAGAGGGGAATAGGGCTGATGGGGGGTGGGGGAGAGGGGAGTGTTCGCGCGCAGCCCGCCCCGCCCCTCACAAGGGGGGGGTCCCCAGGCCTTCCTGCCCCCCCTTCCCCAAATCCGGCCCAAGGTGAGAGAGCTAGTCTCGAATCCCCCCCCCGCCCCCCGCGCACCGGCTAGCAGTGGAAAGGGCGACCGCTTCCAGGAAGGAGCCCCCCGGGCTCCAGGATGCGCCTCAGGAAGGAAAGCGCCGGGGGACGCGGGCAGGGGGGCTCCCCAGGCCCAGCGGGGTCCCGGGCCCAGGCGCGCGCGGCCCCTTACCTCCAGGGTCCGGATCTCCTGCTGGGTGAGGTCGTTGGACACGGCGCATTTGGTGCGCAGCCCGCGCAGGCTGCCGATGGAGATGTCGATGAGCTTCTGGAGCTGGCCGCACTGCTGCAGCGCCCGGCCGGCCGCGGCGCCCCCGCCGCCGCCCTCCTTCTTCTCCCCCATCGCCGCCGCCGCCGCCGCCGCCGCCGCGCGCAGCGCCGCTCTATCCATGCCTCGGCATCGGGGCCGCAGGGGGCCGAGGCAGGGAGCCCGGGGGGACACGGGCGCCTCGACAGGGAAGCCCCCCCACACGCACACACACACACCCTGCGCCGGGAAGGGGCTGGATGAGGTGGGCCCCTCGGCGCTGCCGAAGCAGGGATGCTCTCCCGAGCCGGCCGCCGAGTCCGCTGTTCCCGCCGCCCAGCCGCGGCGGCAAAGCGAAAGCCGCGGCGGACCCGACGGCTGCGGCTCCCCGAGCCTTTAAGCTGCTGCCGGGACCCGAGCGGTGCCGCGAGGCATGCTGGGACTTGTAGTCCGCGCCGCGCACCTGCCGCCTGGCCCGCGCCCTCGGGGCCCCGCCCGCGCGCTCCGCCTCGGCCCAGCTCCCGGGCACCTGCCCTATTGGGAGGGGCTGCCGGGCGCTGGCTCCTTCCCCCGGTACTGAAAGGCTGGGGTGCCTCCTCTCCCTCTTCCCATCTCCACCCCACCCTACACATACACACACGTCCCCGGCCTTCCCGCGACCCCCGGATGGGGCGGGGCACAGACCCGCGTTTCAGTGTCCGCTTAGCCCTGGAAAATGCGGATTGTGGCGGTTCCATGTATTTGTGGATTTAGGGGCTGCCGTGTACTGGGAAGGGTCTGAAAGAATTTTTTCTAGCAAAATGCCGGGCTGGTGGCGTGGCTGAAATGGCAGAGCGCCAAGCAAGCAAGCTAAAAAAAAAAAAAAAAAAGCCTGAGTTCAAATTCTGACTCCAGCACTAGCTGGAGAGTTACCTTGGGCAAGTGGTGGTTCTCTGAAGGTGTGTTTCCCCTCTCACCCCACTCAAAGCTTGGTATAAGGAACGCGTTTATGTATCTGTAGCACTTAGATTGATTACTGGTGCACATAAGTCGCTGGACCAATGTTAGCAAGTGTTCCTTTCTAAGCTCTGGTTTCCTGAATAAGACCGTGAACCCAAGCAGTCAGGGATAATGGCAGCAATACTACAAGCCTGTATTTGTGCCTTCTAACCCCAGCATTCAAGCCCACACAAAGCATTACCTCTTCTCCCATCAGGCCACTTCGTGCATTCTGTTAACTGGCAAAGTTTAAAACCATGTTTCTGATCAAAAGTCTTCTTATAGACTTAAGACTGTAGTCTTCTTACAAACTCTCTTATATGTCCAACATCTGCCAACCAGAAGAAATTTCTCCCTACTGAATTTTCCTTTTGAGCTCATTGAATGTAAAATCACCCACTAAAGTTATCTGTGCATCCTTTCCATAGAAATGTCAGGCAGACAATAAGGGGTACACAAAGTTGTGCAGTGCATCTCATGTGCTCTTTTAGACAAGTCCTATCCAATGGCCTAGGCACAATGTGGGGAGGTTAAGAAAACCTACATAGATTTTTTTTCTTTTTGTTTTTTGTCTTTGGCACAGGGCATGGAATCCAAGCCTTATTTTATTTTATTTTATTTTATTGTCCCAGGATCTGGGCACTGTCCTTGAGCCTCTTTGTGCTCATGGCTAGCACTCTACCATTTGAGTGCCACTTCCAGCTTTTTCTGAGTTGTTTATTAGAGATAAGAATCTCCTGGCGGGGCACTGATGGCTCACTCCTGTAATTCTAGCTACACAGAAGGCTGAGATCTGAGGACTACGGTTCAAAGCCAGCCCAGGCAGGAAAGTCTGTGAAACTCATCTCCAATAAACCAACAGAAAACCCGAAGTGGCGCTGTGGCTCAAGTGATAGAGCACTTGCCTTGAGCTGAAAAGCTGAGGGACAGTGCCCAGGCCCAAAGTTCAAGCCCCACACTGACAAAAAAAAAAAAAAAATCTCCTACCTGGGCCAGCTTGGAACTGCAATCCTCACATCTCAGCTTCCTGAGTATCTGGGATTACAGGTCTGAACCACCAAAGCCCAGCTTATTCTTTTCTTTTTTACAAGTTATTTATGTTTAATGCTTAAAGGTCTGAATGCATAATCTTACCTCATAGAAGAACTGGTGGTCAATGTAATGCATTAAAACTATGTACAAAAAAAGGCAACTAACCATATGGCAGTGGCTCATGCCTGTAATCCTAGCTACTCAAGAGGCTGAAATCTGAGGATCCCAGTTCAAAGCCAGCCCAGGCAGGAAAGTCCATGAGACTCTTATTTCTAATTAACCACCAGAAAACCAGAAGTGGCACTGTGGACCAAGTGGTAGAGCACTTGCCTTGAGCTGAAGAGCTCAAGGACAGTGCCCAGGCCACGAGTTCAAGCCCCATGACAAAACAAAAAACCAGGAAGAAAGCAAGCAGTGTTCACCCAGGACAGAGTACATTCTTTATGTCTCTCAGAGCAGGGGTCGATACAAACCCTCTTCTTCAAGCATTATATTCTTGCTTGAGTGTCAGACACTAAAACACTTAATACTGGATGGCAGTTTATATCACCCCCTTACTTCAATGGGATATTAACTTTTTTGATGGGGAAGGGGGCTTGAACTCAGGGCCTGGGGGCTGTCCTGAGCTCTTTCACTCAAGGCTAGCACTTTACCACTTTGAGGCATAACACCACTTATGGGGGGAATTTTTGTGTTTAATTGGAGATAAAAATCTCACAGGGACTTTTCTGCCAGGGCTGACTTTGAACCGGGATCCTCAGATCTTAGCCTCCTGGGTAGCTAGGATTATCAGGGTGAGCCACCAGCACCCGGCCATAGTTTTGTGTTTTAGAGCATTCTATCTTCTCATTTGTCCTCTTTCACAAGAATACAAACTCCCTATGGGTAAGGCTTTTGTGTGTGTGTGTGTGTGTGTGTCTGTGTCTGTGTCTGTGTCTGTGTCTGCCTGTCTGTCTGTCTGTCTATCTGTCTGTCTGTGTGTGTAGCCATTAACACAGAGCGTATTGGGCCAACTTGATATAAGAAGCCACACCCTTTGGGGAAAATGCACTGCCATGTTGGTGGTCATGGCTGGACTGAAGACTGGGCAAACTCCAGCACCCAGGCTGTTCTCCCACCAGGCTCCATGTCATCAGCTGCTTCCTGTTCTGTGAAGTTTCCTTTCTACCTGGACAGAACATTCAGTAGCCATGCCTGCTTAGCTCAGCTAGACTTGGTTTGCAGGGTCCAATGAGCCACACATTTTACAAAGCCACAGAGAACACAAGGATCTGTAAGAAATCTCTCCTCTGTACTTTTAGTAGTCATTAAGTAACCACTCAGTGTCACTTAGATGGCAGTCCCAGTTCTGACCTGAAAGAAAACAGCAGTCGACAACCCAAAAATCCTTACCCTTGCCAGGCACTCAAGTCTCATACCTATAATCCTAGCTACTCAGGAGGCTGAGATATGAAGATCCTGATTCAAAGCTAGTTTAGGTGAACAAACCTGAGCGACTCTTATCTCTCCAACTAACCTGCAAAAAGTCGGAACTGAAGGTGTGGCTCAAGCAAGCAATAGAGTACCAGCCTTGATTGAAAAAGCATAAATGATTATTTTTTTTGTCGGTTGTGTGAGTCTGAACTCTGGGCCTGGGCACTGTCCCTCAGCCCTTCAGCTCAAGGCTAGTGCTCTACCACTTGAGCCACAGCACCACTTCTAGCTTTTTTTGCTTATGTGGTGCTGAGGAATTGAACCCAGGGCCTCATGCATGCAAGGCAAGCACTCTACCACTGAGCCACCTTCGCAGCCCAATATAAAAGATCTTGAGGCTCTGAATTCAACCCCCTCTTCCCCCTTCTCTCTTTCTCTCTCTCTCTCTCCTTGCTGAGTTGCTGTGTAACATTGAACAGGTCATAAGTGCTCAGCTAATCTCTGGTGTGACTCCTCATCCACAAGATAGAAACATGTTGTGAGGATAAACAGATAATTATGCAAAATGGTGATCATAAAATAAGGGCACAACAATCATAAAATAAGGGCACAACATATTTATTTGGTAATTACTACTAAGCAGTTTCTTTGGGCTGTTCCAAATGCCTGATTCACTCTTTTATTTTATTTTATTTTTGTTCCCATATTAGGGCTTGAACTAAGGGCCTAGCACTCTCCCTTAGCTTTTTTTTTTCTTCCAAAAGCCTGGCACTCTATCACTTCCATCTTTTTGATGGTTAATTAGAGATAAAAGTCTTTCAGAAAAAGCCGGGCGCTGGTGGCTCACGCCTATAATCCTAGCTACTCAGGAGACTGAGATCTGAGGATCGCGGTTCAAAGCCAGCCTAGGCAGGAAAAACCGTGAGACTCCTATCTCCAATAAACAACCAGTAAACCGGAAGTGGCGCTGTAGCTCAGGTGGTAGAGCGCTCGCCTTGAGCTGAAGAGCTGAGGGACAGCACCCAGGCCCAGTGTTCAAGCCCCACGACCGACCAAAAAAAAAAGTCTCACAGACTTGCCTTCTCAGGCTGACTTTGAATCTTGGTTCTCAGATCTCAATCACCTGAGTAGCTAGGATTATAGGTGTGAGCCTTAGACACTGGACGAAGCAGTTTTTTTCAACTACCTTTCATCTGAGGTTGGTTGCATTCACAGAGGCAGAGCTGTGAGTATGAAAGCCTGACTGCACATTACTTCCTAGAACGTCAGAGAACAGTCCTGGGAGTCTCTCAGGAGACTGTGCTGTGTCCCTAGGCCTGTCCCACGCAGCTCCCAGGGAGAAAATCCCAAGGACTCTCTGTGGAATCCAGCCTTAGGCATGAATTCCAGAGCTAAAGCCTACACTAGTTGTTATCCCTTGGGGCCCCCGCTGACATCTCCCAGCTTATCTGCTACCCAAGGCAGTTTCAAGTCAAGGCCCTGATTTAAGAATGTGATGAAGTAACAAGCATATCTAGAATAAATAATAACACATTAATACCCACAATGATGATAAAACATCTTTATATTGAAGGCCTCCTTGCAGGCTGTCCATGAACCCCAGGGCTATAGACAAGGTTAAGAACCCTGCCGTCCAAATGAGTTTCTCTGTCTTTACTCAATCATCTTGAATGGCACTTTGGACTTTCATGTCTTGGGAGGTGCATGGGGGAGTTGTTTGTTTGTTTGTTTGTTTGTTAAGCAGTACTGAGGCTTGAACTCTGAGTCTTTTGCTCTTGCTTGGCTTTTTCTGTCAAGGCTGGTACCCTACCACTTGAGTCACACCTCCACTTCTGGCTTTTTATTGGTTAATTGAAGCTAAGAGGCTCACAGATTTTTCTGTCCAGGCTGGCTTGGAACCACAATCCTCATATCTCAGC